CAGGAAGCCCGATTCGGAGCTCAATCCCAGGACCCTGGGATCATGACCTGAGCCGAAGGCAGACGCTTAACTGATGGAGCCACCCAGGCACCCCTGAACTGGCTAATTCCTAAATGGAACTCCTACATCCTGTTCTTCACGTGCCAGTAGGATCTTTTGCCTGTTTCTACCCCATGATTGGAAGCCATTCCCAGAGACCCTGCACAGAGCCCAGTGAAGATCACTCCAACAGAGCCAAGTCCCTGCACCTTTACCCACAGCAATCACAGAAGTCTGGGCTACTTGCAAAATGGCTGGTGTTCTCGTGGGTGGGCAGGTCTCACAGAGCAGCACTCTTGGTTGAATTCTTCCCTGAGGGGTGGGCTGATGAGAAACCGTTCATAGAGTTCTGAGAAGCAAAAATGAAATGATGCTACTTAATGCAGCCTGTAACTCCAGAGAGATCTGTGGAAATGATGCAGTTCTCAAAGGCGCTCAGAATTTTCCAGCAGCCTGGTCAGAACACTGAGGCAAGCTGGCCGAGGCTGGGGGACGACAGGGAAGACCACGCACGCCGGGGCTCTGTGCAGGCTGCTGTGCATACTCTGTCCCCTTTCTCTACAGTAGCGCTTTGCAGCAGGCATTCCAATCTCCATGCGCCCAAGTGACCCAGAGCTCAGAAATAGTAAGACAACAGCAAGAGTCCCACAGCTGGTTAAGAGGCAGAGCAAAAACTTGCCCCAGGTCTACATGACAGTAGAGCTCCTGTCCCCACCATTACAGTGTTCACAATGGTCTATTCTGGGCAGGGCGTGACATTACAAGCAGGGCCTTTGGGCAGAACAACCCTGGCAGAGGATCCTGCTGTCAAGCCAGCCAGCCTGGTGGCAGCTGCTGCCACCGGAACATTGAAGAATGGCTGCCCCGACCCCCTGGGAGCCCCACTGGGCTGGGCCCCTGGAACAGTTATCTGCTGGCTGCCCCCTTTCCAGAGCACGTAGACTCAGATCGTGTGGCGGTGCGGGTTAGGGATGCCTGTGTGTGTGGTTGCTTTGGCATGAGCTGTGTCTATGTTCACAATCTTGTCAAGTCTCTGCTGTGATCCCAGCACTGTAGTGTCCACCTAGACACCAGAGTAGGCAGGGGACTCTCCTAATGATAGGGCAGGAGACAGCAGACACAGATCAGTCCTGGCCTTAAATCAGCTTGTGAGACATTCCACTGCTGCCCCCTCTGTGCTCCCACTATGTTCACACAAGGCTGGCAGCCACAGACTGGGGAATAGAAAGGTGGGTGTACTTTTGGGGTAGAGACATGGTTTTGGAATATTCCACCTGCATAATACCCTGAATTGAACATCATCACATATTTATTTAGAAGAAATTGGTCCCAGACCCAACCAGCATAGGTAACAGCTTTCATCACCAACGTGGCCCATGTCTGTTTGCATCTATTGATATACTCAGGGATTTGGGCAGTCTCCATAGGAAAAAAAGGGCAGAGACCGGGAGGCAGAGGACGAGAGGGTGGGAGATGGCATGAAGCCTTCCCATCTGGGCTCTGGAGTGGGGTTAAGGCCAGGTGCTCAGATGAGTGAGAGCTAGAGCCTATAGGACTATTTCTACCAGAGGTTCTTTCCAAGATGAGGGTTAAGAGCCAACCAAATTGTTCACCAGAGTCTGTAGGACCCCAAAATATAAGTAGAGCATTTTCTGAGCCTGGTTGATACAAGGCAGTATTGGGCTGGAAAGGAAACTTAGCTCCCCATCTCTGGAATCTAGCAATCCTAGGCTCCTTGAGGACTGGTGGCTTTGGGAACGTGCAGAGACCACAAACAAGCCCACCGTTGACATGCATACAGACATCAGTATTGGTTTAAGCAGCCACAGGAATGGGACAGGAAAACTGTTGCGGAGAGGAGGTGACTTTCTCCTGTGGCTACAGCTAACATACTGGTTTGTGAGCACGTAGAAGGCCCACTTTGAGGATTCCGAAAATAACCAATGCATAGTGGGTATAAACATAAGTAAGATCCCATTTTGTGGTCACAGACTGGTGAAGTCAACTGACATCTGGTTTTGCAATACAAAACATTACCTTCCTGAAAGGAAGTTACCACACCTTTCTTCCCTGTGAACATGCCAGTGGTCTGTCCCTTGAATCTGGCCAATCAGAACTTATGACTCCCCCATTAATAATGCAGCATCCAACATTGTATATGCTGTCTCTTATACGGTGGCTGTTTTTTTTGTTTTTTTTTTTAATTTTATTTTTTATAAACATATATTTTTTTTCCCCAGGGGTACAGGTCTGTGAATCGCCAGGTTTACACACTTCCCCACACTCATCATAGCACATACCCTCCCCAATGTCCATAATAACCCCATCCCCCCCAACCCCCCTCCCCCCAGCAACCCTCAGTCTGTTTTGTGAGATTAAGAGTCACTTATGGTTTATCTCCCTCCCAATCCCATCTTGCTTCATTTACTCTTCTCCTACCCCCTTAACCCCCCATGTTGCATCTCCTCTCCCTCATATCAGGGAGATCATATGATAGTTGTCTTTCTCCGATTGACTTATTTCGCTAAGCATGATACCCTCTAGTTCCATCCATGTCGTCGCAAATGGCAAGATTTCATTTCTTTTGACGGCTGCATTGTATTCCATTGTGTATATATACCACATCTTCTTTATCCATTCGTCTGTTGATGGACATCTAGGTTCTTTCCATAGTTTGGCTATTGTAGACATTGCTGCTATAAACATTCGGGTGCATGTGCCCCCGGTGGCTGTTTTTGATGCAACATTTTATAAGCCATGTAAATTCTTGCAAAAGCAAAAGAACTTTGCATCCTGACAAATAAAATATTAAGGTTGTCTCTATCACAGTGTGGGAAAGGAGGCGACCTTCCCAGGGCAGCATCTGAAAGGGTTCATTCTGCTCACCTAAGACTTTCATCTCAGGCCTGGTGGGCTCCAGCTCTGCCCTGGGCTCTTCTTAAGAATCATCTGATTGTCACAACAACCTGGATGGAGCCAAGACTTCAGGGCAGCACTCCCCGAGTCCCTCACTCGTGTTCTTTCCACTACACTGCTCTGCTTTGTGGGGCAGTGAGCCAGGCTGGGCACTCACCCCTGCAAGGAGAAATCTTCCTGCTGCTTTGCAACACACTCTCCTAGACACACCCTCTCGGATTCCCAAACAACTTTCCCTCTCCTCAGGCCTTCACCGTCTGCGCTACCCAAATAAAGGCCCTTGACCATTGACTGACTCAACTTTCATATTTGGAACACCTGCTGCCTGTCTTGCATTGTGTAAAGTCCAAGATGAAGAATGAGCATCCTGTCTCGGAGTGCTTGTGAGGAGCTAAAAAGCAAAAACCTACCCGCAGGAAGTTTTATTTTGGAAGAGGAGCTTGCTAAACGGAACTCTGTAACTCTTGCATTGATGGGCTCATCTGCAGGGAGCAGTTTTTGACTGGGGCTGATTTCTTATGGGCCCTTGTCCTTTCACAGTGGATCTCTCTGCTCTGGCTGGGTGCTGGCTCCCCTCCAAACAGCCTCTGGGAAAAGAGAAACAGGGCTGGCCTTGGGAACTTCCCACTGCCTGTGCACTCCCGTCTCCTAACCCCTGTTCCCAGCTACCTTAGTAAGTGGTGCTCCTGCTGGTCTCCAGACTTGGGGCTCTCTTAGATTTCAAAGTAAAACGAACGAGTTGAGGTGTTTGTAAGGCTTCAGGAAATCACCCATGCTTTGATATACTGGCATTTTCTTACTCAGATGAGACCCTAAGTGGCAGGGGCAGGTGAAGAAAGGACCCTTGAGGCTTAGCCAGCAGTGAGAACTGCTCCCTGCAAGCCCACTTGGGCTTGGAGACTCAAGAAAGCATTGCTTTCTTCATAGGGGGAGGCCTTCCAGAAATAGGCTGACCTATAAGTTTTATAGAGTCAGATGGTGAAGTTTCTTCTTCTCTCCTCCTCCTCCTCCTTCATCATCATCATCATCATCATCATCATCATCATCATCATCATCATCATCTGTTGTTCACAACCCCACCCCAAAGGTCTACATTTCAGTGTGGTCACATTGACAGTGACTCTAATTCCCCCTCCACACAAAGTGTACTCTTCGAATGAACATCTTTCTTTCTTATTTTTGAGGGGGATGGACTTTTACTTTCTTATTTTGTATTATGTTCGTTGGGATGAGCACTGGGTGTTATACACAACTAGTGACTCATTGAACACTAAACAGAAACTTACGATGTACTATATGCTGACTAACGGAACAAATGAATATCTTTCATTTTCAGGAACTAACCCCATTTGCACTCAAAGATGATATCTGAAATGTGGTTTTCTTTCTGCCCACTAAGGCAGGGAAGGCTTATGAACATGGTGTATACCACTTCCATGTTTGGAAGTGGTATAGCATAGAACACAGACTCTAGAATTCATATCAACCTGCATTTGAATCTGATTTCCACCACTTAACTAATCACGTGGCCTTAAAAAAGTTAATTTACTTCTGTGCCTCAGTTTCCTCACCAGTTAGAGAGTAATACCCACCTCACTGGGTTCTTATAAGGGTAAAATGTATATAATACCCCAATAATAACATATGGCAAATGTTCAGTAAATGTTGTTACTAGCAAAGCCACGGGGGTATTGGTGACCTACCACTGAGCAAACCCTCTGTGTGATCTGGTGACCAAATGAGAAACCAGGAGGCTGATTCTCTAGCGGGAGCTTAGATTGGGGTGTTGGAAGCATTGCTACATTTGCGTGTGTGAGAGAAACACATTGTTCCTGCAGAGGAACTGAGCAGAATCCAGACACTGTGATCACCTCAACGTACATGGAGCCCCTTACCTCAGTGAGAGGCACAGTCCACCAACCAAGGTTCATTTCCCCCTTAGATATCTCTTTTCCATCTTAAGATTGTTGTATCTCCTCTGGACATGGGCTGAGGAACTGCTAGATGCAGATTTAAATATTAAACAATATGTTGTATAAATATATTGACTTAAAAAACATATTGATGTTAACAGATTATATCAATCTCTTGGAGGTAATTATTTCATAGACGGATAAAAGCCTGGGAGGTCAATGATAGTGAGGTAGACAGTAGACCGATGATAGAGACAGAAAATGAACCTCTTGAGTGCAAGTTTCTTCCCATCTCTCACTCCCTTTTCAGAAAGCTAAACTTCCTAGACAATGTCTAATGGTTCATGTGAATTATTGGTCTCCCTTTCCTCCCCATTCAAACACACGCACGTGCACATGCGTGCGTGCGAGCACACACACACACACACGCATACGCATACACACACGTGCACACTGCATGCACACACTCACCTACACGTAAGCCTCTGCCTCTTCACACAGTTCTCTTCCTAGAAGACAGAGTTCTGCCTGAGGTTTCTAGATAAGGTTTTCTGTGTTAGAATTCTCCCTGGCCTGCTGCTAACATCCCTAACCGTCTTTCTTTCTTGCAGGTGGCCACATCAACCCAGCTGTGTCTTTTGCAATGTGTCTCTTTGGACGAATGAAATGGTTCAAATTTCCTTTTTATGTGGGAGCTCAGTTCTTGGGAGCCTTTGCAGGAGCTGCAGTCCTCTTTGGCATTTACTATGGTGAGTAGGGCTCCTGAGCCCAGGGGTTAGGGAGAGCTGGCCCTGACTGGGGAGTCAGAATTACTTGTTAAGAACAGATGAGCTAAGACAGGAACAGGGAAGTGTTCCACATTCAGCAGGCAGTTCTAAGAATTCGAAGTTCTGAATAATGTGGCCAACATTATCATTAGGACAAATTCACAAAGTCTCTTAAGAAAATGGTCACAATTTAAATGGAGGGCAGAACTAGAAGTCTGTCTTTAGGTCCAATCAGTACTACAGTGTGACCAGGCACAAAATTAGCAATAGGCCAGTGGATTCTCCATAAGCTTTCTCCGACTTGGCTGGGAGAGAGGGTGTTGACTGGTAGCAAAGGTTGTGATAATTAAGTAATCAGAGCAGGAATCTGGAACAAAGTCTTTGAAAGGAAGGGCACGGTTGAGAATAGGCTAGGTGGGGAATCTCTTCCCCATTCTGTCCAACAACCAGGACATCTGATCTCCAACAGTCCTAAAGGAGAAACAGTACTGGTGATCAAAGACCCAGACTTTAATTCTGTACTATGTCAGTAAGTAGCAGGGGGACTTATGTAAGCCATCTGACTTTGTCAGTCTCAGTTTCCTCCTCTGCAAAATGAGGGACTTGACTTCTAAGACCCTTCAAACAAAAAAAAATCTTGAGATTGCATGAAATCAACTGTTGAAGTAGTTCCTTCTGTCTAACCCCCATAGAATATGAGTTTCCTGACCCACTGGCTAAGGTTGACTCAAGTGTGGAGTGAACCATGGAGGGCAGCCAGGGCTTTTTATCTTTGACGTGATATCCTAGAATTTCTATGGGCATCTCTAAAACTGCCAGGCTATGAAATGAGGAGAGAGAAATGGAATAGGTCCACCAAGCTAGACCTGAGTGTTTGATTGTGGTTGTTTTGCACAAGACCCGGCATAGGCCTCCCTCAGCTTTGCCCAGAGAACACTAATGTGCCAGAGTTCTTTCTTCCACAGATGGACTTATGGCCTTTGCCGGTGGAAAACTGCTCATCGTGGGGGAAAATGCAACAGCCCACATTTTTGCAACGTACCCCGCTCCATATCTGTCTCTGACAAATGCGTTTGCAGACCAGGTAAGTGTCTGTTTACCAAAGACTGGACTTCAGGGAAAAGATACTATCTAATAAGGGGAATGCACAGGAACATTATAGTCTGTTGGACTGGGAAGGCTGTGTTCCCAAAGTCAGAGGTCACTAGGCATAACCCAGGCATTTTTGACCAATTTTTCCCTTTACCAAAGTCGATACCACTAACAAAGTTTTCTGCTTCCTTGTTAATAGATACACTTGAGGGCACCTGGGTGACTCAGTTGGTTGAGTGTCTGACTCTTGATTTCATCTCAGGTCATGATCTCAAGGTCATGGGACTGAGCCCCACCACAGGCTCCCCACTGGGCAGGGAGTCTGCTTGAGATTCTCTCCCTCTCCCTCAGTCTCTCACCTTGCTCTTTCTCTCTGTCTCTCTCTCTCTCTCTCTAAAATAAATAAAATAAGTCTTTAAAAAACCTGCATACACTTGTTTTGCACTGGTTGAGGTCCAGAAAAGAATGGACAACAGGACATTTCAACCCCTAAAGGGGCAAATAGGGTTTGCTTTCTGATCACTGTCTCTTCCACACTCTGAACATGGAGGCCACAAGAAAAGACATTTCCATCACAGTTCAAGGACTAAGAAGTGTGACAGTTGAACCTAGAGCATCGCTGGATCCTCTAAGTCTCCTCAGGCGCATAGGTTTATCGAACCTCAAGGTAGCTAGAAGAGTCTCTGCTCTGTGGACATCTTAACAAGTTGCACCCAGACAACTGCGATGTAGCCGACAGCACGGTTCTTCTGGTCACCTTGTGGCAGGACCAACCTTGGCAACCTGAGGGCCTCTTCCTTCCTTACCGTAGCCCAGAAAGCCGACTGGTCAGCCCAGAAGGAAGAAAGGAGGGAGGGGGACAAGGAGGGAGGACATCTCCAGCAACTCTCAGTAGTTCTCTTGTGATCACGATGGGGCAGGCTAGAGTGGGCGTGTGTATAAAACGGATCTTCCAGATTGCCAACTCTGTCCACCTCCATTTAATGGAGAGATGAGAAAATCCACGCCCTCATGCCCGCGGTCTTTTTCCTCTTCACTTTGATCAATAAACCAAACAGGCAACAAGTCTTTCTTGAGCTCTCTCCGTATGCTCAGCCCCGTGGCTGGAGCTTGAGGGACTGACAAGTAAATGTGAGTCGGAAAGATCCGAGATTTGGAGTCTGAGTGCCGGAATTAAAATAACAGTTCTGTGCCAACTCCCTGAGCAACTTTAGCTCGATTACCGAGCTCTGGGGGTCTCATGTTTTCATTTGTAAAGTGGGGATAATATGAGCACTTATCAGATTACTTTGTAAGGATGAAGTGAATAATAGGAGGAAAATGCATTATAAACAGTCTCTGCCCAGGAATTTTGAATAAAACGAAGAACAAAATGATCACCTGAAGATAAAAGGAACAACACAAAAGTGAAGACAATTAGACTATAGGAGTCACATTAGTCATTTGGCACCAAGAGCCTAAATGAGCTGGGATGATGAGAAAAGTTCTGATGGAAAAGATACAGAGAGCTGTAGCTGCCAGAAAAAGAATGTTCTCCTAAGCTGGAAAAATAGAAGGATAGTATTCAGATGAAGTAGTTTAGGGTCTGTATGGGGTTCTGTATGGGAATATTAGATTCATTCTAAATGTCACAGTTCAAGAGGGCATATACTACTAAAAGACATGAGCCAAAAGATGTCACACAGCAATGTGTGGAGAATGGGGATGTTTGCTCTAGGGGTGTGTGCGGGAGCTGGGGGGATGGAGGTGACGAGATGGACTAGTAGCTTCCAAAGAGTTGAAGGAGTGTCAAGTGCAAAAGAAGTTAGACTTGGTATGCACATGCTCCCTGGAGATTTGATGGAAGCTAGTACATAACAGGTGCTCAATAAATATTGATTAATAGACTTACATATTAATTATGTAGTGTGTATACACTGATATTTCTATACTAATTATAAAATTCTTGGCCCATGAAATTATGGTGAGATAAAGTTACATTATATTTAATAAAAGGAAGACCTTTCTAACGATCGGGACTGGGCTTTCTCTTTCAAGATTTCTCATGTGAATTCCATTAGAGAGGTAAGAAAGAAAGAATGCTGGCATTCTCTCTCTCAAACCTTGGCTTTTGTTGAAAAGGACAGTGTCTTCATTCCTTTTGAAAGTGGCAGGTTTCATTCTACTGGAAGAGCCTGAGAGAACTTCCCCTAACGTTTAGTACTGTTTGGATCTCTTCGTTACAAATCAGTTTTTCTCACATATCAGTTTCTTAGTTCTAGTTTTCTCTTATGAACCTCTGTTCATTTCCTTTGCCCGTTTATCCGTTGACGCCTCATGTTGTTTTTCTCGCCCATCCGACGGGGCTTCTCAACTGTTCTGCCAGCTGGAGGCTTGCCTTTCTGTTGAGCGCGATGGTAGCTTAGCAGGATAGTTGTCGCGAAGGTAAGTCTCTGGAGCCGAGCTCTCGGGGTCCACACCTGACTGCCACTAACTGGGCAGGCGACCTTGGCACGTCACGAATGTGTAAACGATGCCAGCCCCACATCAGGGCTTGCTGTGATGAGAAGAGAGCCTGGCCTGCTGTGCCCACCAGTGCGTGTTGTTTGTTACGTTTGTTTTTCACCAGAGGGGGTGAATTCTGAGGTGGGCGAGTGAGCGGAATACAAGTTAAATCCCTTGTGCATTTTCTCCCTCCCCCAGGTAGTGGCCACCATGTTCCTCCTCATGATTGTCTTCGCCATTTTTGACTCCAGAAACTTGGGAGTCCCCAAAGGACTAGAGCCCATTGTCATCGGCCTGCTGATTATTGCCATTGCTTCTTCCTTGGGACTGAACAGTGGCTGTGCCATGAACCCAGCTCGAGACCTGAGTCCCAGACTGTTCACTGCTTTGGCAGGATGGGGGTTTGAGGTCTTCACGTAAGTAATGGTGGTGTTGGGGGAAGAGAGAGTCACGCTGAGCCTTTACTGGGAAGGGCTGCGCTTGGACCTTGGAGGTCCAGGAGAGTTCAGTTGGGAGTGTGGAGATTAAGTGCATGTCCTGGTCATCGGCGTGGATTGTTTTGCTGGTGCTTTGTGATATGGGGTGTGGGGGCAGGGAGGGGAGTGGGAGGAGACACATATGGACACAGTTACAGAGAAAGAGGAAGAGAGACAGGGAGAGAGAGGCTCTAGGTAAATTCAAAAGAGATGGGCTTGACCTATATAATAATAATACTCAGTTGGTAGATGTTTTTTTGTGAATATTTTGGTTGTACAAGTTGTCTGCAGATTCATTTTGTGATAAAGTTGGGCCTAGAGTTTCCATCTTCTGATACGACTCTAGGGTTCTTGGTAGTGAACCATGTTATGCTTCACTCATTCAACAGTTCTTTACTGAACACTATCTGCGCTGTGGTCACTGTGCTACGTAAAGGGAGATTTCGAAATCAGCTAAAACCCTAGCTTTGAGCAATACAATAAGAGCTCTGGCAACCGCCAAAACAAAGTGCTCAACCAATGTAGATAAGAGAGTGACTAGTTATGCCTCGGAAGTTGGGAAAAGCATCACCGAAGAAGTGAGGGCTGAGTTGGGTCTTGAGGTATGAGTAGGAAATCCCCGGCAGAACAGACATGAAAGAGAGCCCGTGCACGGGAAATGGCAAGACGCCATACTTTCTACCTCAGAATGTGCTGAGGAAATACGTCAGCTGTTGGTACCAATCTTCCAGGACACACTGTGCCCATTTATTCCTTCCCTCTTTTGCCCCCATGCAACCACAGTGGTCTGTCCCCATCCACTTAGCACATCTCTCTATGGGAGAGGAACTCATGTTGGTTCATCAAGAAACAGAGCTCTAACATGGAGAAAGAGAGGTAGGAAAGACACATGTGAGGAAATTCTAGTTTGATATTTGCTGTGAGAAAAGACTTGAATGTCCTTAAAGGCTGACCTGCACATATAATCATATACATGTGACGACTTATTTAAGTGAAAGTTTGGGCTGCCTTCACCAGTGTGAAAAAGTAGTTATTTAAATAACTGACACAAGTCAGATCACCACCACAGACAGGGCTGAGAGCTGCTGGAGTGGAAGCATCCTGAGGACGGGCCCTGGCAGCTTCCTCACCTCTGTCCCCATGGTGATGAGACCAGAGGCTGGCATATACAGAGTCTCCAGAGAAGTTGATAAAAGCCTGAATGAAAGAATGGGCAAATGTTATGTGCCAGACATGTCCCAGGAGATGAGGAATACAAAGAAAATCAAGCAACATCCCCTATCTTTAAGAAACTGATAATGCAATGAGTTTTCTAGAGCAGTGGTTCTCAACTAGAGGTGATTTTTTTTTTCCCACCCAAAGACAGTTGGCAATGCCTGGAGACATGTCTGGTTGTCACAACTGGGGAGGGTAGAAGAGAAGGTTGTTACTGGCATCGTGGGTAGAGAGAGGTCAGGGATATTGCCAAGTAACCTCCAGCACCCAGGACAGATTCCCACAAGAAAGAATTATTCGGCCAAAAATGAAAGAATGCTCCACAGATGAGGAGCTCTTGTTCCAGAATGATTACCACTAGGACATGTAAAGGTTGAACAGAACTTCCCCAACCAAGAAGGTTCTTTTGTATCCTTCCAAGAGAGAATGCAAAACATATATCAGCAAGATTCTCAGAGCCCAGAATTAACCTGACTTTCATTAATCCCAGCTCCCAGAGCCTCACTCTAGGATACCGCTGCCCCCACGACCTGGTCACCTGTTAGCTTCACACAGACCCCTGGAACAAAGAGGTCTCGAAGCCTCCCTTTGAGCCCTGTTTCAGGACTCACGCAAACTCTAGGAGGGATGGTCACTCTAAGATAGATAAAGGTCTTGTCTATCCTCTCTTGGCTTTGTGAAGTCAATGGTAGGAGATCGCATCTGGCAAAATGCTAGAATCCCCTACTGCCAGACGAGCTCCACGTCCCTGTCCCTCCATGTCAGGGTCTTTTCCTCTCACACGTTCATTTATTCACCCCTGCAGCTACCTGAGCTCTTGCTCCAGGCCCTGGGCTGAGATGAGGAAACCGAGCAGCTACCCTTCTGCTTCCTTGGTGCTCTGTTCAGCGGGCTCAGCCTAGCTGCTTCCACAGGCTGAAGCTGTCAAGTGTCGTTTAAGAGATTTGACTTGTTCACTTCAGCACATGGGAGGTTTGCAGCTCCAAAGTTAGGAATTATGGGGGTGGAAGTAGGGGCATTTTATAGTGTTTGGATGTGCCTGAATGGGGGACAGAGAGGAGACTGAGGGCAGAGAGGATCTGTTTATCATGTTTAAGTAACAAGTGATCTCGTCTAGCTGGAAGGGTGCGCGGAGAAGTCTAGAAAGGACAGCATGTCGGATCGCAGAGGATCTAGACTCCCAGAATGAAAAATTGGGGTTTGGGCTGCCCCGTCTTTCGTAGATTATGGGAAGCAGCAAAGAATTTAGAGGGGAAGTTTGAGGGGCGCCTGGGTGGCTCAGTGAGTTAAAGCCTCTGCCTTTGGCTCAGGTCATGATCTCAGGGTCCTGGGATCAAGCCCCGCATCAGGGTCTCTGCTCAGCAGGGAGCCTGCTTCCCTCTCTCTCTCTGCCTGCCTCTGCCTACTTGTGATCTCTGTCTCTGTCAAATAAATAAATAAAATCTTAAAAAAAAAAAAGAAGAGGGGATGTTTGACATGGTTAGAACTCCAATTGAGCTAAATTAATCTGATGTCACCATCTAAAATGGATTAAAAAGGAGAGAGTAGAGGAGTAGAAGCCAGTTAGGAAAGAGCTGGCTGGCTGGTAATCTTCAAAAATGCCCACAAAAACCTTGGAGGGATAACAGATCTCCAAAGTGTTCCTAGATCATCCCACCCTTTCAGGGTTCCTCATCCCCAGTAAGCATCTCAGTAGCTACATTAGCTTGGGTCTACCCCCAAGGCCTCAGGTAAAACCAAGACTGCCTAACTCTCGGGTCCCCACTCGCCCCAGTCTGGCCAGGGGAGGGGAGCACCAGACAAGGGCCAGTCAGTCAATAGACCCCGGCTAACTCCGGCTTTTCCCTTCAATATTATAGTGTTTTCCATCTAAGCGCTCTCCACGAATTCCCATTAAGGTGTTCATGACTACATGGATGAAGGATCTCAGGGAGATTGTTAATATTTTAAATAGTTTACCCAAAGGAATGAATCCCCGATGCTGGTCCGTATCTTAAGCAAGTAACAAAGACGTTGTCCTGACATCCCCCAAATCATGGCGTGTGAATGACACTGAGGACCCCTAAGACTGGGCCAGGCAGGAACCCACGTTTGAAGCCCTCCATTTCTGATCTGTGACCCTGGCACAACACATTCAGCCCCGACTGAAGGAAGAGTCTGGCCAGTGAAAGGAGGACATGTGTCCTGGCAGATACGTGGGACCTGGATCTGTTCGAGGACAGTGAGATTCCGTGGTTAAGTCACGATGAAAGAAAAGAAATGAGAGACAAATAAGGTGGCTTATACGTGCTTCATGTGTTTGCCCAAGAGAAGGCCCCTAGCTCTGTAAAGCCCACGCGCCTCTCCCAGGAAAGTCCTCCTGGATTTGGGGGCTCACCCCTCCTGATTATGGGGACACGAAGAGAGCCTCGAAGTGTAGCGTCATCTCAGCTGCGCAGTAAGAGCGACCTCTGGTGGTGTTGTGCTCAACCTCAGGGCTATTCCCCTGCGCCTGCACTCCTGAGCTAAGATTTCTGGGGACCATCCAGGCGAAAGGGATCGCCAGACAGAGGGAAGGATGAAGGTCAAGCACGGGGCTTAGTTCCTTTATTATTCTTTCTAATCCAAATGTGATACAAACAAAAGGCCACCTGGAACATATATGTGGTGACTAAGCATAATGATAAAAAGAACAGCCACAAGCCTTTCCCCGACTGTGAAGTCCTCAAACAGCTCCTGCTATTTCTCCTGCCTCCTCCGCACTATTCTCAGTGGTGGTGATTATCATTCCCCTGCTTTACGAAAGTTTTATCTGAAATATATACACCCTTAAATAACTTTATAGTATTATTGAATAATTTTGCTTGCTTCTCAACATTGTGTTCCTTCCTATGGAGTTATTTAAATGGATTTCCTGCCTCTGAAGAAGATGGTGACAATTTACAAAGGCACCCGCTTTCTTCCAGAACTCTACTTTCAGTACAATGTACTGTGATTGAGGACTTCTGGAATCATGGCAGAAAAGGGAATCATGGCAGGAAAGCCTTATCAGAGAGTAACTTTAAGCTGTGACCTTGGGGTGCCTGGGTGGCTCAATGGGTTAAAGCCTCTGCCTTTGGCTCAGGTCACGGTCTCAGGGTCCTGGGATCAAGCCCCACATCGGGCTCTCTGCTCAGCAGGGAGCCTGCTTCCTCTTCTCTCTCTCTCTCTCTGCCTGCCTCTCTCTCTCTCTGCCTACTTGTGATCTCTCTCTGTCAAATAAATTAGTAAAATCTAAAAAAAAAAAAAAGCTGTGACCTCAAAAAATAAGCATGAAATTAAATTATATTTAGTAGGTAATTCATATATCCACCTTTCATTTTTTAAAATCCATTCATTGGCAAACATTTCCTGTTTATTTACTCTGTGATTGCCCTCCTAGACCAACTATCCAGGAACCTCTCCACATCCTTCCATTCATAATCCCCAGGACTCATCATTTCAGGATGAGGGCAAAGCAGTTCCTAAATAATCGACCAGCACTGTCCCTAGATGACTTCAGTTTTGACAGTGGGTTCAGGGACTCTGTTTCCTGAAAGGAAAATAAAGGGGACCTATTCTCTCACAGGTACTAATAGCACATTGGACTAGATCGTCTGCAATGAGGTATATGAAAAATCTAGGATGATTTTTCAAGCTATAGTGAATGTCCTTATGCTTAGCTCTTGCTGAGTTAAAAAGGAACCATGAGCATGGGAAACACTGGCTTGTTAGGGAATAGCTAGTAATACCAGGAGAAAGATCCAAGTGGTGTATCACTAACTTCTTGTTTGTTTTCAGAGCTGGAAATAACTTCTGGTGGATTCCGGTAGTGGGCCCTTTGGTTGGTGCTGTGATTGGAGGCCTCATCTATGTTCTTGTCATTGAAATCCACCACCCGGATCCTGACCCAGACTTCGAGACAGAACCATCTGAGGACAAACCAGATAAATATGAACTTAGTGTGATAATGTAGTCGTGTGCTCAGGTTGGGTTTACAATGGGCTGCACTAGTATTCTCATCAGAAAAGATGGCATCCAGGTGTCTGTGTTTTCATAAGAGTAGGATGGAATCCAGCCAATTTTCTCTGCTAGCCATGTGAGGCACATAATTGTAAACGCATTCAAGTCAAAGTTGGCAAATGCTGACCTCTTCTTCACCGGTTTCCCCCAGAATAGCACTGACTGTCCCCTGAAATAGCCTTATCTCCTGCTCTATTTGTTTCATCCTTTGATGGGAATCCTTATTACTAGGCGAGCACCGATAACTTAGAACCTTGACCGTGGACTTATTTGGATGATCTCAGCTGCACTACCCATATGTAATAGCATTATGAAAGCTTTGTTTTTCCGCAAAGATTATGTTTTGAGTATCAACCAAAACTAAATTGAAAGACAAAACAGTGATTTCAGTTAATATAACCATGAATTAGGGAGCCAGTAGGTCAACTGTGCGGTTACATTCTGCCACTATATTTGTGTAAATACAGATACTCCTCAAACCTAGGGATATGCGAAACAGTAGAATACAGCTAGAAAGCACAGGGGAAGGACACTGTGGCATTCAGAAACCTCAGGAGACAAGATAAATTTGGGAAACCAAATGGAATTTTTTAATGGAAACCATTTATCAGATTAATCTCTTGCTCTTTGCATTTTAGAGGGCGCCAATTAATTTTCTTGTCTTTAGTATATAATAACCTAAAATACAGCCGTAACCTCAGTCATGAAAATTACATCACCCTATATTTTTAACTCAAATGCATTTTCCTAATTGTCCACTTGAGGACAGACATTTGACAAGTTAAGTCAATGGCTGCACTCATCCATTATTCTACCCGTGCCCTAGAAGCCAAAACAGGAAGCCATGGGATCCTGGTCTAGTGGAATCTTCAGGAGAGAAGGACCCCAGAAAGATAGTGTTACCTTATTGGGCTTTACCATTCACAAAAACACTTTCCCGTTTATTATCTCACTTAATCCTCATATTGACTGTCCAAGGTAAATGCGGTGCTGCCCATTTATTCAGACAAGGAAACAAAGTCTCAGGGAAGTTGAGTGAGTTGCCTAAGGTCACATGGAAAGTCGAACCTCATCTAATGCATCCTACACCTTTCAGAAGATCAATAACTAGTCAAGAATCTCGGCCAGCCCTCCTTGGCTGGCCAGAAGACATGGCGCTGGCAGCGGCCAGAATGTGTCCACCTTCTGGATATAATGTTCCTGGGACCCTAAAATATAAAGACCTTCATCGTGTGGTTTTATTCCTGCTGTTACTGAAACACTAACCAAGGAAAGACATAGAAATTTGGTCCTATTTTTCATGTGTTGAAAAACATTATCTGAAGGCCTCCCTTCCTAGCCCACCCTTGCTCCTTGTAACTCTTGCTCCTCCTTCCCCTCCAATCACAAACATTACGTATGGGGACTTTCCCCTCGGTCAGTTCCCTAATTGATGTCACTTTGGTGACAAGTGTCGGTGAGTTACAAGCACCAGAGAAATTGCTCTACATCAAACGACACACCTTCAGTCAAACTGTTAAAAAGCCCAGCATTCCCAGAGGTGTCCAGTTCCCAGTTGCATTGTGATGATAACAGAACAAAAAGCAAATGTGAAATGTCTCCAGTGGCCTATGTTCTATAATCTACCAACATGGAATTTTTTTTCTTGCTCTGAAACTACCTGGATATTTCCCATTTGAAATAAAATTGGTGGCTTTTTTTTCTAAGTTTTTATGAGTGCTGTGCTATTAAGGGCACATGTTTACCCTGTCTATAAATTGAGGTCTCCTGGGGAGCTTTTAAAAAATACTAATGTCGCAGTTAATCATTTGTAAATATTGCAGTGATTTAAATGTGTAGTGGGGGTCGAGAATTTTGACTTGGTTAGATTACATGTGTCTAAGGTTTCTTTGAGGACCATGTCTAGTGGTGGCCAGATGATTTCTGGAAGGATTCTCAGGCTTGGGATTCTTACAGATTTGAGAGCAGCGGTTCTCAATAAGGGGCAGCTTTACCCCCTTCTCAGTCGCTTCCGCCACCCCTGCAAGGGGATATGTGGCAATGTCTGGAGAGATTTTTGATTGTCACAGTTAGGGCGGGAGAGTTGCTGGTGGGTAGTGGGTAGAGGTCAGGATGCTGCTAAACATCCTACAAAGGACAGGACAGCTCCCCACCCCCATAGCCCACAATAAAGAATTCTTCAGCCCAAAATGGCAATTTGTGCAGAGGTTGAGAGATTCTGGATGTGAGAAAAGACGAGGGGAGGAATAAGAGAAGACGCTGAAGTCCTGTGCCCCGATTCACATTCTGCAAAAACAGAAATGCCAAACACGTGAGGAACAACCCCTGGGGATTGGTGGATTATAATTATTAGAGAAAGAGGCAACCTAAATTTTGAGTTTTCAGGTTGGATTGTGGAATCTATGATCCATGCAGGTGATCATTAAACACTAACTGGTGATTAATGACCGGGATCATGAAAGGAAAATGCACATTAGGAAATCAGCCCCAGGAAGACTTTTTTAAATGGGGAAAAAAAGAAAAAAGTCCTCTTGTTCTACGTTTTCACATTCAAATTCTCCCTCTCCCCCAGTTTACAAGTGGGTTTGCCTGTGGTGGATTCTTAGATCAGAGAATGTCTTTGTGTTTGAATGATCTGTATCAGAAGTCAAGTAGAGCCAAATAACCTATATATATTTTTTAATATTATTTATTTATTTATTTGACAGACAGAGATCACAAGTAGGCAGAGAGACAGGCAGAGAGAGAGGGGGAAGCAGGCTCCCTGCTGAGTAGAGAGCCAGATGCGGGGCTTGATCCCAGGACCCTGGGATCATGACCCGAGCCAAAGGCAGAGGCTTTAACCCACTGAGCCACCCAGGCGCCCCAAATAACCTATATTTTAAATAGATCCTTTAGGAGGTGGAATTTTAAATACACCCCTCTTCCTTGTCGATCACAAAACTTAAAAGAATCATTTACTTTTATGCCAAAAACAATTTCTCCATGATTCCCCAACCCTTTGAGATCTCAAAGTATGTCAGATGTTGTAGGACTTTTCTAACCAGTAGGAACCAGAGTCAATACTCAGCTGCTGAACAGGCTAAATGAAGTAGAAATTTATCAATTAAAATCTGATCCTTAAGATATAAATTAAATTGTTTACACACACACACACACACACACACACACACACAGAGTCTTACATAAAGACACATCAGTACTCAAAAATACCATCATGGAAAAAGATATACAACTTCCAGTTAAAGAGAAGGGTTTACAAGTTTTATTCAGCCACAGAACCTAGTCAAATAAAATTTGTATAGTAACCACTAGTAAACCAAAGATGCTATAAATAGAAGGAGGGTGGGGAAGGAAAGAGAAGTTTCACTCTGCCTGTGTATCATCATGCTACTGCCGTCTGCCCCCACGCAGCCCAGTGCTGAGGGGTTTCTGAAAAGAAACTGTAGGTGTGTATGTGTGTAGGGGATCTTCAGAACATAATTTGAAAGCCATTGATAAAGGACGTGGAACAAGTTGTTGATGAACATTTTTGTAAAAGGATTAGATTCAAGGACAGAACCTTCCAAAGGTTATGGTAGTTCAATCTCGCATAATTTTCCAGACTTCTTCATAAATTTTTTTAAAAAGATTTTGTTTATTTATTTGACAAAGAGAGAAACAGCCAGAGAAGGAACACAAGCAGGGGGAAGTGGAAGAGGGAGAAGCAGGGGGAAGTGGAAGAGGGAGAAGCAGGCTTCCCGCCGAGCAGGGACCCAGATGCGGGGCTCGATCCCAGGATCCTGGGATCGTGACCCAAGCCAAAGGCAGAGACTTAACAATGGAGCCACCTTAAACAGAACTACTTAACTCACCAAAAATCACTCACAAAGATGTTGATCAGTTCTCAAACTGGGAATTTAAGTTCTCTGAGATAACATATTTACTAATCACAGCAAATGGAGAGAAGCAATATTAGTCCTGGGTTAATTACTGGGCTGACTCTCTAGGTCTCTATAAAAATAAGTAAAGGGGCGCCTAGGTAGCTCGGTGGGTTAAGCCTCTGCCTTCAGCTCAGGTCATGATCTCAGGGTCCTGGGATCAAGCCCCGCATCTGGCTCTCTACTCAGCAGGGAGCCTGCTTCCCCCTCTCTCTCTGCCTGTCTCTCTGCCTACTTGTGATCTCTCTTTCTCTCTCTGTCAAATAAATAAATACATATATAAAAAAATAAGTAGATAGATAGATAGGTAGATAATAAATAGGTAGGTAGGTAGATAGACTGATCCACCAAGCCCGTCTCCCTCTGCCGCTCCCCCTGCCTGTGCTCTTTCATGCTCTCTGTCAAACAAATAAATAAAATCTTAAAAAAAGAAAGAAAGAGAGAAAGAGAGGGAAGAAGGAAGGAAGGGAGGGAGAGAGGGAGGAAGAAAGAAAGGAAGGAAGGAAGATGGAAAATAAATGAATGTGTGCACCAAAGACTGGGAAAAAATATTTGTAATACCTATTAGCTAACAAAGGACTTGTACCCAGAACATCTGAACTACTCCTTCAACTCAATAAAAAAGACAAACAGATCAAATTTTTAAATGAGCTAAGGACTTAAGTAGACACTTTATTAAGGAATGTATATGAATGGACAATAAGAATATCAGTGAAGTTCAAATTAAAATCACAATAATACATCATGTTACAGGCACTAGAATGGCTAATTCCAGAATAGACTGGACAAAGTCAAATAACAGTATCTGAATTCGTATATTTTCAGTGGAAGTGTAAAGTGGTACTACTTTGTGAAAATGTTTTTTATAAAGTTACACATGCATATGTCCCATAACCATGCATTTCACTCTCAAGTATTTACCCAAGTTAAACAGAAAATATGTCCACCAAAAAACCTTATACAAGAATGTTCAGAGGTGCCTGGGGGCTCAGTTGATTAAGCGTCTGCCTTTGGCTCAGGTCATGATCTCAGGGTCCTGGGATCGAGTCCCACATCGGGCTCCCCACTCAGCAGAGTCTGCTTCTCTCTTCCTCTGCCCCTCCCTCCACTGATGCTCTCTCTCTCTTTCTCTGGCTCACTCGCTCAAGAAAAAAAAAAAAAAAAAAAGAACGTTACTAACTTTTTTATTCATTATAGCCCTAATCTGGAAAAAATCCAAGTTGCCATCAACAGGAAAATGGATATATAATTTGTGGTATATTCTTCCAATGAAACATTAGTCAACAATAAAAAATAACGTGTTATTATACATGCCACAACTTGGATAAATCTTTAAAATATACAGAGTAAAAAAATCAGACATAAAAAGTACATAATATATGATTCTATTTTTATAGAGCTCAAGGACAGGAAAAAGAAATCAGAGTAGTAGATACCGTAGAGGTGGACAATAGTATTTGTTATAAAAGGGCTAGAGGAAATTTCCTGTAAATATGGAAGTTTTATAGTTTTTGATTGGGTTAGACAGTATATAGATGAATACATACATCAAAACTTATCAAACCTTACACTTAAAAAATCTGTGCAATTCACTGTGTGTAAATAATAATAATACAAGAACTCTTTAAAAACTATAGAGGACATAAGTCAGTGGAATATAGTAAATTCAAAGTAATAAAAGTAAAAGATGGTCAATAAAGAATTCTATGTCCAGCAAAAATATCCTTTAAAGTAAAGGAAAAGTTAAGACTTACCCAGATAAACAAAAACAGAGAATTTGCCACTAGCAGATCTGCACTACTTGAAATACTTACCCTACGAATGGTAATCAAAAGAGAAGTGTCTATACTAAAATCAGAAAAATGGGTTTTAATGAAAGAGTGTTACCAGAGACAAAGAAAGCATTTAAAAACGAAAAAAGAGTCCATCTATCAAGAAAACATAAGAAGTATAAACATACATGTACTTAAAAATAGAGCTCCAAAATACACGAAGCAAAAATGTACAGAATTAAAGAGAAAAACAGATAATTCAACAGTTATAAATATACCAATACCTCACTTTCAATGATGGAAAGAACAATTAGGCAGAGGAAATAAAAATCTTGAACAACATCATAAACCAAATAGACCTAACAGTGTCTATAGAACACTCAACCCATAAGACAGCAGAAACCATATTCTTCTCAAATGCACATGAACCATTCTCCAGGACAGACTACAGGTAGGCCAACAAATTTAAAGGGATTGAAATCATACAAAATACGTTTTCTGACCACAACTGAAATGAAATTAAAAATCAATAACTAGGAAATTTGGGAA